TTGATTTGTTACAATGGTTCAGATGTGTGATAGATCTCATACAATGTGTACAGCACAAAACGTGTAGGTACAAGAAAATAAAATGAAAACTAGTTCGTTAAATACAAAATTGAAATTTACACATAATATGTGTTTGTCAAAAATGTTATTAACGACGAGAATTTAACAATATCAGTTAAAAAAATTAATTAAAATAACATATTTAAAAATCAGTTTAAAATCTAGATATACTTTAGAAGGCTTCAGATCACTTAAGATTTTAATAGCCTATTTATTATTTAGTAATTTTGTTCATAGAATTTCAGTCATTTTATGAAATTATAAACCCAAAAAAAATTTTGTTTGCTAATCTCCATAGAGCCCTCTGAGGAAATCTTTGAATTCAACTGAGTGAAATAATCTTAGGAATTAAAAATAAAAGATAAATTATGAATTAATTTTGTCATCTTTCTTTTTATTATTATTAATAATCAATTTATAAATTACTTTGTAATATATCATAAAAAAATAAAATGTTTGCGAGCAAAAATGTTAAATATTTTAAATTATAAGTGATTTTTCTTCAAAATCATTAGCAAGGAATAATAAAAAAATATTAAAATGTTACTTTACTTTAATTTAAAATTAATATTTAAAAATTAGCTCATTATAATAAAATTATAATTAATAATTATAATTAAAGATAATTAATTTACTGGACTAGTTTTAATATTGTAACATCAAATAATCAAGTTTTTAAATAAATTTTTTGATTGTTAGTTAATTTTTTTTTAATCTAACAAGTTGAAATAAAAATTATTGAATTTTAAGCAATTCATGTTGAAGAAAGATTATTTTAATAAAAAAAATTGATTACAATAAAATAATTAGGTTAGTAAAAAATAATTTTGTATCAGTATACAATAATGTAAAAATAGTTATCTATCTATTATTAGTAAGGCGTAGCTCAAATAAATTTTAAAAAGGTTATTAAGCGGAAAAATTTTTTCTAAAAGTATGATTTAAAAAAGTATGAATCATTTTGGAAAACTAAATGACTCTAAAATTAATAATTTAGTGTATTTAATAAATTTTCAAGAAGAAGAAAACAAATTATTTCCTGAATATATCAACAGTTAAAGAATGATATTTTTTTTATAAATATTTATCACCCAATTTGTCCAAAAATACAATCAACTAGGTGACAAAAAGATTCACTGAGCGATATTCATGTCACCTAATTTACTAGATTGAAAAAGACACTGTAAAGTTTGATAAATTAGTTCAATTCATTTAATACATAAGAAAAATTTTGATTGTTAAAAATAAAATAATTTGTTTTATAAGTATGATTAGTCATTTTTATTGTTAAAATTATCTGTAATAAAGTTAAAATTTTATATTTATAGAAAAGTCGATCATTTTTCTAATAAATATGTAACACCCTATAAAAATTATTTTTATATTCATGACAAATATATCGATCAATAGGATTGAAATCGTAATGATTTCAGTGCCAAAAAAAAGAACATTAACCCAGTAGGATAGAAATTTTTTTTTTACATTTGAATCTTATCCAAAAAATCATAGATTATATTTTATATTAATTTATTTTCATGTAAAAGTAGGTAATTTGAATATATTTTGAAAAAATAACTTATAACTTTTATATGAAAATATAAGCTAACGACAATTTATCTAAATGGTATTTTAATTAGTACTAGTACTGTTTAAATTAATTATCCATTTTTTTTCTTGCATGGCAATGTTGCAGATATGATTTTTTTTTATTAATCACCTCAAAATTCTGTAATAGCTCAGTAAATCTCGATTATAAATTCAAAATATCTTATAACGTCGTATTCTTTAATTTTATTCTAAACCAAAATAATATTATTGTATATTTATGATAGAACCTATCAATTTTTTCAAAAATACTAAACGACGAAGAGTACAAACTTGATTATTTGTAACTATTTATCAAAAATAAATTAATTTGTTTAGTTAATAATTATTTTCGATTCAGTGCTTGAAAGAGTGCACGTTCCCTATTATTTTCTTATTTTTTTTCATTACCCTACGGCGTTTCATTGTTTTCTTTTATGATTTATTACATTTAAAGTTGACTAAGGAAAGTTTAGTATTGCTAAACTTCAATTTTAGTATTGCTTCATTATTTAATATATTTTATATCATTCATAATTTTGATTATACGAAAACAAAATCTGAGTATTAAAGAGATATTTATATAAAATTAATAGGTATGTAAAAAATATATAATTTTCTGATAAAATTAGAAAATAACTTGTAATTTACATATCTTGAGTATAATTAAATAAGTGACTTTTTGTATCAATTTTATTTCAGAAATCAATGAGTAATATTTTTTAATTGTACCAATAAAAATAATTAATAATTTAGAATATACATCGGGGTACAATCAATATGTATTATAAAATGTTGTTTTTAGAAAATCTTGAATACATTTTTCAAAACTTTCCAGTGATAACTAAGTAATTACTTATAAAGACATCTAAAGGTATTTCCAAATGGGAGGATTAGAGTCAACTTCTCATTATAAAAATAAATAATTACTTATTAACCCTTAAACAGTCGCGTGGGGGTCTAGCATACCCCCACATAAATAAAAACGGATGTATTATATTGCATAAAAGGTGTACATAGATATAAATTTAGAAGATGGTTTTTATAGTAATATTGAATCGATTTTCATAAATAAATACCTTCGAAAAAAAAATGTATGATTTAAAATATCCATCAAAGTTGAAATGGGTCATATTGACCCCCAACGCGACTTGTAACGTTATAATTTTTTTTTGGACTTGTATTTTTTTTCAAAATATCGTTTTATTGTAAAAGCAATGTTATAATCGATATAATATTGTGAAATTGGAATTATGTGGATCTGCCACCGACTGTGCAATTAAGTTTCAAAAATAAATAATCTATTGAGAATTTCCACTACTCGATGGATACGGAACAAATAAGAACAAAACATGTAATAAATACATCGCGTATACTTTCGCGTATCAGATTCAGAATAATTGTATATACTCGTGTCATAATAATTAAATGTATTGTAATATTAATAATAAAAAAATTCAATTAAGAAAAATTATTATATAAATGTAAATACACATAAAACTAATAAATATAAGCTGTGTTTGAGCTCAAAGAAATACAAAAAAATTAATAAAAATACATTTTGTAATAGTAAAAACTTTTATTTACCGTCTTAAAAATAAGATTTTGCAGTTAAAATAATTTTTTTACAAACCAAAATTTTTTAATGAAATTTTGAAAATAAAATTTTTTTTTTTCGTAATATAATTTTTAGTAATGCACATAATTTTGTCATTTATTTATGTTTTTATTTTCATTTTTTAATTTTTATCCATATTTATATATCATATGGTAACAAATAATGTCTTTGAATTTAAAAAAATGAACTTTTTTATACATATTTTATATTTTTTTAGAAATGGGGTCTAATAGACTACGACTATGAAGATTAAAAATAGGTACGCGCCTGCTTAAAGGTTAAGGATCTAATTTTATTTTGATTGAAGGTGAGATAATATTTTTCTTCAGTCTTCCATTATAAAAACACTCTGTAGTACTTATCTATATAATGGCATCATGTGTTAATTTCCATTTTTATTCAGGAATAGCTCAAGCAAATTTTGTATATGTTAGCAGTATAAAATTTTACTGTTATTTAATATACAAACGAAAAAAAAATTTGTCGTACCTGTATAAAATGTGTGAACATTTTATAAAATAAGTCATAGGTTTCGGTTTACAGAGTGATTTTTTTAACGCTAGAATAAATTTGATTTCTTTTAAATTAATAATTTTTTGTGAATTTGGTTTTTCGCTTTTGTTAGTTACATATTTATCTCCATAAAGTTGATATAAAATATTTTTTATGTTCATCTCTTTTATCTTATAGGTGTGTCGTCAATTTAATTTTTTAAAATAAAAACATTCATATTTAATTAACTCATAAAAACGAAAATGATCTAATTAAGAAAATGACTTGTCGATAACTTTTGTACCAATATTTTAGAATTTATCAGTAATTTAAAGTAATGGCAAGAGGTCAGGAGAGGATGCTATTATTTTATCATTAGATATATATTGCCACTTTTCCTACCCCCTAGATATAAAAATGTTAATAACTTCTAAAATACTGGTCCAAAAGTTATCAACAAGTCATTTTCTTAATTAGATCATTTTATTTTTTTAAGGTAATTAAATGTGTGTGTTTCTATTTAAAAAAATCAAGATGATACCTCAATAAGACATATAGGATAAACATATAAAATATTTTATAACAGATAAATGGAGATATATGTAAGCAACAAAAGCCAAAAAAAAATCACAAAAAATATTTATTTTAAGAAACATCGAGTGGCTTGAGTTAAAAGAATCACTCTGTATATGACCTAAACTTAAAGCCACTTTATTAGTATAATATATCATATTATAATATTATTTTTTTTAACTACCAGTGAAGTCGACATGTAGTACTTAATTCTTAGTTTTTATTTACATTAGTATTTGATCATTGCTCGTTTATCTATCATTATCATTTCTGATAGTTAGTATGTTAATATGTTAGAAAGATTTTTATGATATTTTATTTAACTATTAAATAGGATTTGACAGAGTTGAATTTAATAAATAATTTTTAAATGCAGGCCGTTTAATGGTTGAAAAAATTTAACTCATAAATTATGTTTGTTATGATATGACTACATTTAGAGATCTATAAAATAGTAATTACACTAAACAGTTTTCAACACTTCTCATTTAATAGATACGTGACAAACCTGATGTAAAGAGAGCACATTTTTTTGGCAATAAATGTACAATGTGAATTGTAATGAGTGAATAGTTAAGTCCACAATATATCTCTGTATGTATTACAAGGGCTACCGGCTAGGTTTAAAAATAATTTATATCGTACTTGAAGACACGTTGTCATCTCTCCGTTGACTGTTAGTAGCTTTTTGGCAGCTCAGAGCGCCCATAGTCACCAACACAAACTCGGGTTTAGTGATCAACTAACAAGTGAGTATTTCGTTCGTCAACATACGTATTTAACATACCTTTAATTGAAACAATGATATTGTGCCGGATATAATTTACTACTGAAACAATGTCGTGTTATTGCCCAAACTGGATGAATGATAGTCCTTTGCTTGTTCCTATTGACCTCAATAATCAATCGGATTTACTCAAGGTATGTAAAAAATGATATACCTTAATAGAATTGAATATTTTGATGTTTTTATTTGTATTAGTTTAACGTTTATAAGCTTTCGTAATAATATAGACCATTCCAATATAGTCAAAAATACTAATTGGATAACATAAATCATTTCTTATGAAGTAATTATTGTATTATAATATAGTATTTTACTGTCTATTTCAGTTTTCTTTTAGTAGTATAAATAGATAAAACATTTTTTTAAAAACTGCACATGATTAAAATAACTCTAGGGGAACTTAATACAATAAACTCGTAACTTTTATTACTTAGTTCGTTTATTTTTGGCTTACAAACCGCAAGATATAAAATTTTATGTATTATGTAATAATATCTTATGTATAGGTGTATTAATACTGTTTAATAATCAACTGTTAAAATAACGTCATAAGTAATTGCGTGATTTTTTTTTATTGTTTCATTAATTTGGATTCTGTTCAAAATTTAACAACTTAAATTTTGTTGCTTAAATCTTATATGCTACGTTTATAAAATTTTGATCTACTCTATGTAAGCTTCAAGGATATTTAAATTTATTTTTGTGACTAATATTATTTTTCATTTTGACATTTGAAAATATTATCAAATTGGATAATTTAACTTTGATTAGATATATAGGAAATTTTGTTAAATGTTTACTGATAAAAAGATTTTGAATCTTTCATTCATTAAAATATCAAGGTGTTATAAATTTGTTGTATAAATAGTTACAACAAATTGCTGCTGTTAGTGTAAAAAGCGTGAATTTCCACATCAAAGAAAGTTGAAGACCGCCAACTTTGAAGAAGCCGTTTAAAAATAATTTATAACACTTGCTTACTCTTTTAAAATTAATTATAAATTCAAGGTGGGGTAATATTTTTTAATTTAACTTAGAACTAATAGTATAAAATTAAAATAAATTTCCCTTTTGTTTGATTTTATTTATTCAAGAAAGTTTTAAATCTATTAAAATGTTGTTTTAAAATAAAGATAAAAATAGACTTTTTGTAGTCCAAATATACGCCTTGAAGCAATAAATAATTATTGGTGGTATATAAAATTTAGAAGTGAATATGTTTAAACTATTTAGTAAAACTATGGGATAATATTTTCAAATCTTTTTGTAAGTATATCTAAATTTTTACATTCAAAAAATAGATGTTAAATTTTTTAAATTACAGAAGCTGTTTGATGTTTATCGATTTATTATGGATAATAGCCAAGTGATACATAACTAAATTTAAATTATTTAACTATAAGGCAATGTGCATACTATTATAAGGAAATTTTAATATCAGTGATTGATTAATTTATAACGCTTAGATAGTATAATGATTTCATCAGTTACTCATTTGATTGCCAAAAACAAATAATATTCAAAATATTATGGCAATAAATTTTAAATTGGAAACCTACATAACAAGGTTAAATATATACAAGTCATGAATATTTCTATTAATTTAAAAATAACGTTTAGCTAAAAAACATCAAAGTGTTTTTTTTTGTACAAGTTCTACTATTTGTCAAAAAATAACCATCCATATAACACAACACTATCAAAATATTTGTATATATTTAGGGACCAGAAACTGTCCATGTCTCAAAATTTTACAAGGAAGGCAAAGATGGAAAGTTTCTCAGTAACATATCACCTGATGCCAAAACTTTGTATGAAACATTTCGCAAAGGCGCGAAAATATCTAGTAAATAATATTTTACATTCTAAAAAAATATGGGATTTACTCTGTAGGGTGTTCAATAAGTAAGGAAACGGATTTCTATTGTTCTCATTGTTTATAAAAATTGACGTGTTTCTATACTTATTGAACTAAAATTTATTTGAATGTTAAATATGATTTTGAAATTTTTGTAGACAATGGTAAATGCTTAGGGTGGAGAGATAACATAAGTAAACCTTTTCAATGGATTCACTACAATGAAACATTACTTCGAGCTAGAAATTTTGGGTCAGGTCTTTTAGGCCTTGGATTACCAAAAAGTAGTCAAATTTTTATCGGAATTTACAGTCAAAATTGTCCTGAATGGATTTTGACCGAACAAGCTGCATATTGTTTTTCTATGGTGATAGTACCTTTATATGATACTTTGGGTCCTGATGCGTGTTCTTTCATAATAAATCAAGGTATTGTAAATTGTCAATTAAACAAAGGAATTTTTTTTACTTCAGAGTTCGTATAAATAGGGGTAGATGATGATCCTCAGAAATTTAAGTCATTAATGACGCATCTGATGGAGATAAACAATAACCGAATAACAGATTTTTCTTTTTAATATTGTTACAAAAAATATCATTTAATCATAAAAAATACTTTTAAAAAGACAACAATAATAAATTTGAAAAAATTAGGGAGGCATACAAAAAAGGGCATTTGAATTATTGCAAATTTTCATACATAAGGTCCCAAAAGTTGTAGTTTTTTTTTTTTAAATAATAATAAGTTAATAAGTAAAATATAGCTTGAAACCTGATAAGGGTCTTTTTGTTAATTTTATATTTAAAATAGTTTTTTTTTATAATAAATTTAAGTAAAATAATTGTATTTGAGAATTGAGTTATTTGATTAAAATTATATTGAATTTTAATGAAGTTATTTAAAATGAACTATCTAAATTAATATTAAATATATTTTATTTTAGCTGACATTCCTGCTGTAATAGTTGATACGGACGAAAAGTGTAATCAGCTCTTAGATAGGTCTCCAAATTGTCTACGAAAAATTGTCGTTATTCGTGGTACTCGTCCATCAACAAATCAAAAAGCTAAAAATCGAGGTATTGAAGTCTTAACTTTTGAAGAAGTAGAAAGATCTGGCGCAACCAAAACATTTCCTGAACAAGTACTAAAATATAATAATTTATATCAAACGCTTAACAAATATCAACATATCTTTTTAAATAGCCACCAAAACCCAATGACTTATGTACGATATGTTATACATCAGGCACAACAGGATTACCTAAGGGAGTAATGTTAACACACAGTAACGTAGTAGCAGCCGTTAGTGCTGTTCTTGTTCAATTATCTCATTATAGACCTAATGTGGGGGATGTAATGATCTCCTATTTACCATTGGCTCATATGTTGGAAAGATGTTGTGAGGTACATTTAAATAACAATCATTATTTAAAATTATGAATTTTTTTTTATTAAAATGATTGTAATTTTTTTTGTTCCATTGTATTCCATTGCATTTTATTGAAATCTATTTATTTTAGAACGGAATGTATTTGGTTGGAGGAGCAGTAGGCTTTTATTGTGGTAATATAAAATTTCTTTTTGAAGATATGAGAGTTCTTAAACCTACAATAATGCCTAGCGTGCCGCGTTTGTTAAATCGAATCTACGAGCAACAGATGTCTACTATATCTCCTAATTTTTTTAAGCGTATAATGTATAATATGGCCATCCGTTCAAAAGAAAAAGAAATTAAAAAGTTTGGTTTGTCTCTATAAGTTACACCATTGTTGAAATTTTCATAATATTTTATCATAATAATCATTTTTAGAGGTATCGTACGGAAAAACAGTATTTGGGATAAGTTAGTATTTAGTAATATTCAGAAGAACATGGGTGGAAAAGTGAGGTTAATGATTATTGGTTCAGCTCCACTCGGTGGTCATGTTTTAACGTTTATGAGATGTGCTTTAGGATGTTTAGTAAGTTATTTTATTTATAAATAACACTTCTAAACGGCTGTGTAAATTATAACATTATATTTTATAGGTCGTTGAAGGATATGGTCAAACGGAATGTACTGCTCCGATATCATTATCAATACAAGGGGACATGAATACAGAACACGTGGGGCCACCTGTGGCGTGTAATTTTATAAAGTTGGCCGATGTACCAGAAATGGAGTACTATGCTTCAACAAACCAAGGGGAAATATGCGTAAAAGGATCTAATATTTTCAAAGGATATTTTAAAGATCCTGATACTGTGACTTTTGATGAACATGGATGGCATCATACTGGAGATATTGGAATGTGGCTCCCAGTAAGTTAATATATTTCATTATAAAACAATGCTAAGTAAATTTAGTTGACATTGTTAGAACTCATTTAGGAAATAAAATTTATTAATAAAAAAAGTAATGTTTTTGATTTCTAGAATGGTACACTTAAAGTAATTGACCGCAAGAGACACATTTTTAAATTATCGCAAGGAGAATATATCGTTCCAGAAAAAATTGAAGCAATATATCTAAAGAGTCAATATGTAAATCAAGTTTTTGTTCACGGAGAATCACTAAAGGTAAATACTATTTAAAAATTATATTAAAAATATTTTAATTATTATGATATTAAAGATATAATGTATACATTTTTTTGTTTCAAATAAAAGATGAAGTTTACATAAATTAATTTTTTTAGTGTTATAATTGAATAATATTATATTAAAATACAGTTTATGTTGTTAATTATAATAGCTAATAATGAAAAAAAAAAAGAAACATTAATTAACAGTATTTAAAAAGTTTTATGCTTAATATTTTTTTAATCATGGTCATGTGCCAGACCAATATCATTACCAATGTACATGGATAATGTAAGTTAAAATATATTGTTTTGAAATACTTTTTATAATAGTCTATTTAAAGTTTAAATTTTAATATTTTTAATAATAATAGTTAAATTTTAATTAAACATGAATATTTTAGTACTTATTTATCCTATTTAATATGTTTAGTCATGCGTCATAGCTATAGTCGTTCCTAAAGTTGATGTAATCAAGTCTTGGGCTCACGAAAATGGCATATCTGGAACGTTATCAGTATTATGCGCCAATTCGGAGGTAAAAAAACTCATCATGGATGATATGACAGCATGGGGAAAAGATGGTGGACTGAAGTCTTTTGAACAAGTAATAATATAAGATAATTTATAAAAATTGTTTAAATATTTATTAATAATTAATTTTACCAGGTCAAAGATATTTATTTGCATCCAGATCCATTTTCAGTACAAAATGGACTCTTAACGCCAACATTCAAAATGAAGCGGCCTCAAGTGAGATCATACTTTGCGCCCCAAATTGAAGATATGTACATCAAATTGAAATAGATGTACAAGCTAAATAATTTCTTGATAAATAACCTATGGAAATGTTCTACACAATTTTGATATATTCATAATTTCACATTTTTACTTAGTTGAATAATACGTAGAAATGAAATTCTATTTTACAAAATTAAATAATAATATAATATGATGTTGGTAATAATAGAAATACATTGTATTATATTTGTTTTATAAATAAGAAAAACTTGATTATTGTTAACATATAATTTTAGTTATCAACTAGCTTGATATAAAATTGATCACTTTTAACATTTAACAATTTATTTTACATGGTTTTCTTTGATTAATACGCTAAAATTAGACAACGCATCTGGTGATGGATTTTTGTCCCATTTTGAATTCGGCACTCCTATAAATAGAAAAAATACATATTATAGATTGATAATAATTTACAATAATTATAAGATTGATAAGTCATTGAACTGTTTTTGACATAAATTATACGTCTTAGACTAATCTAAAAAGCTGCTCTTATATATTATATTAAAGTATTAAACATGTATAGATAAATACCTGATGGTGGTAAAATAACTGAAAGTATACTTTCAATTAATTTAGATTTTAACATTCGATCACTGGTAGTTGTATACGAGAGCGATGGCGATGCATTAACTTCTATTAACCAAGGCTTTAAATCTGAATCGACTATAATATCATATCCATAACATTCAAAAGAATGTTTGTCACTTGACATAACACCCCTCACAGCTTTTAAAGATTGTACGATTATCCAGCTTATTTTTTCAAAAAGTGCTTGAGTATTTTTTTCACCCTTAGTACTCGTTAGATATAACTTCAAATTCTCAGTAGACCACTTACCGCCATTTATACTGTTGTACTCTTTTCCTGCAAATATGTATAATTTATTTTAAATTGCAAAAGAAAATGAACGAAGTTTTTTAATTTAAAATAAAGAGCATGTTAAATTTTTGTTCAAATGAAATTTAAGAGAATGTAACTCAATACTGCTATAGTATCATTGGATATTAAATTAATTTTTATAGAAAAAAGGTTAGTTATGTAAAAAAATTGTTTGGCGCGAACGATTTCCCTTCGCATTTTTGATCCCAGCATAATAACAAATATCAATAAAAAATGAAAAGTATTATTTTTAATATTCTATATTTTAATTTATTTTATATATTTTTAAAATTTTTAACCTTATCACAATGAAGTTTAAAAAATTATTTTTAAATACTTTATTACCATGCTTCTGTATTGACACATTTGTTAAATGAGCTAACAAATTTTTGATATTATCAATGTGTGAATTATATTTCACACTACAAAACCGACAGAATCCATAATTGAATTGATATGCTTTAAGCGGATGAAATGAAGTTACTAAAACATAGAGTCGTAGGTCGAATTTTTTGCCACAAATCAATAGTGGGTTTTCGATGTACCTATAATTTAAAATCAGAAAAATAAACGAATTTTAAATAACTTAAAATATAATTTTGATAGAATTAGTAGCAGTCTACAATTTTAGTTTTGTTTTTTATCTTGGCTTACAGATCGTCCGACTATTTTATTAATAAAACTAAATTACAAATTAATACAATCAATTTTTCGATTCATTAGTAGTACCCTGACAGATTCGTATTTATGTCATTGATGATCTTTGTCTACTTAATACCTAATAGGACATCTATAGAACACGTTTATATAGACACGCAAAATGATAAAAATTTCTCAAAACGTTGTGTCTATTTGTTATTCTATACACACCAATAGTATATATTTTTTTAATGAACTCTTTCGTGTAATTGTTTGTTTTTATATGAAAAAATGCAGTCAAGAATCATTATAGTATGTTCCAGTATAGATTATTACCTGACGGTGATTAACATCACTACCATAAAACGCATTGATACGATTATTTTAAAGGTAAACTTAAAAAAAAAAATTATCGGAAATTTTACATGTTTTGATTAAGATAGCAAATAACTTTTAAAAGTTTCCGTTGTCAGAACGTTTTTCTTTTTTAAAACTCTAAGTATATTTAAAAAATTTTAAAATTTGGTATAGGTTCCCAGAACATTTTTGAAAATTGAAATAAAATAAAATATGAGTATGCGTTCTTAGTATAACTTTTTCAAACCCATTAAATACTTAATATTTTAAACAGATTTTCATAAGCATCTCAAAAAAAATGTGTACCACTAATAAATTTATTATTTTAATAATATTTTTTAAAGACTCGGTTAACTTTATTAAAATTATTACACATTTAAATGTAAAATCTTTTTTTTTAATTCACTATTTTTGATGACTTCCATAATTTGATATATTTTTAAAATAAATTAAATTGAGAGGCTTTTTTTTTTTTGGAATGATTTTTTAAACTAAATTAAATTCAGGTTTTTTGATGTATTAAACAGAATAATTGATACAAAGATCTGAACATTTTTATAGACAGACCCAAAAAAAAATACACCATGGTAAGCATAATATTTAATTATGAGTTTCGCATTGAAACTACAATTAAAGTGTGTTAAGTATTATATTTAAATCGGAAAAAGATTTTACGCTGTTTGGATAGCTAAGCTTCTCCAAAACTCTTTCTATGTAACTTTATTTAAATTTGTCAGGAACAGACCTGGAAATAATATAAGAATTATTTATTGGTGATTTTTGAAAATAACGTTTTTGATCATTGAACCATTTCTTCAGTTTGTAAAGTTTATCTATTAAAAATATTCCAGTACCTTGTGATTTCCCACAAGGTTTTATAATCCAAATACTTGGATTCTTACGAAATTCTTCTAAACATAAATTGTAGTCAGCTGGAAGAATGTAAGTAGTAGGTATAATATCTAATGAACTTTTCAAAAAATCGTTGCCAGTATTACTTAATTTTTCATATTTAAGTGATTCTCTTTTATAACGTCTCATATTTCTAAGAAATAAAATATATTATCATTTTTTTTGTTATAGAAATAAAAAAATAAAAATCATACAAATTGATTGTTAAAGAAACATAGAGCCAAAATCGGTGTTTTTTTATGAGTTTTATGTTAAAAAAAGTTTTTACTATCTCGTTAAATCGAAAGAAAAAATTTTTTTATAAGTGATAAGGATTATCATTTATAAGGATGTTCCTTGGGTACATCCTTAGTAAAACATAATGTTTTAGCATCGATGCGAAGCTGAAAAGGTATTTGTTTTACTATTTTTTTGTGTCTGTTCTCAGCTCTCACCGAACCGATTTCTTTCAACGATAAGTCAAAAGATAACAAATCGTATCTAGTCGAAGATATTACCCTCAAAAATTGAGAAAATTTCCCTCGTTCCCCGTAAATGGGGGAAACCTCCAAAAAAATTACATATTTTAAAATCGCTAATTTTCGAAATTTTTTTAAATTAAAACTGCCATAACTTTTTCAAAAGTGAACAAATCAAAATAATTTTGTTTTTTTATAAATGCTTGATATCTTTACCTATCATTTGGTATATTTTTTTTATAAACCTGACTCTTTATCTGCCCACATGGGGGGATTTAAAATGACGTTTTCACAAAAAATTAACTTTTTCAATTTTTGAAAGTGTTCCGGAAACTCTGACACTTATATATATATCTTAAATTAAAACTAATGTAATGTTATTTATTATTGAAAAAAAAATTTCGGACTTTATTTTGTCTTCACGGTGAAAATGGCTACCGGATGCTATTTTTGTGTGAAAATTCTCGATTTTATTTTTTACATTTTTAACTTTATAATGCTATAAATGATTGAAAAGAGTATGGATCAACACAATATTTCTATGAGAAATAATATTTATATCCCTTTTTTCCCCTAATAAAAGATCCTCCTGTGCTGGGTTTTTTTTCGCTAAAATTCGTAAAAGTCTATTAACCTGATGAGTAAATCTTTTCGAGTAAGCTCATAATGTTTTGAAAAATGATTTATGATTTGATCTTCTTTAAAACGATAGTTTGACTCAGCACTGAATATCATACGACAAGTCTGCACACTGGCCCAGTACAAATTCCATTTATCTTCAGGACCTACGTGTGTCCACCCGCGTTTTTCAAAGTTACTTAACAAAGCAGGTCGGTTTACGTCACAACAATAAGTGACACTTTTCATTAAGTTGATTTTCATTAAAAGAGTGTAAGCCAAATTATTTTAGAATTTAAAAAAGTACAATGAAGAAGTTTCCATAGAGATACAACATTTTATGTATAAAAGTGTGTCAACTATCCTCAGTCATATATATATATGATAATTACTAGATAATATACTATGGAGATTATAATAAATTATTTAAAATAAAAAAATTATTAACTAAAATTATATTATAATCTATATATATGAAATGAACATATGATTTAATAATATTTATTAATTTCATTACTTATAACCAATAATGTATAAAGAAACAATATCAAAAATAAGTAATAATATAAGTTCATATAAATAAGTGGCTGCAGATGTGTTACTAAATTTTTAGAGGTCCATTGGTTATTTTTTTTAGAAGCTTTAGAGGTGATCGAGGGGAGTTATATTATTTCAATCTAGCTAATTTCATAAACAGAAGAAATGTTATTCTTCTTATCCCTTTATTTTAGAATAAATAAATAAATTTATGGTTTTAAAATTTATAAAATTCCTACATTGTCATAATTAAGGTGACTTGGAGGCTTAGTCTCCTTGGATGTCATGATTTCTAAACCTTGGTACATTTTATACATGGCTACTTAATTTTTCATTATGATTAATTTATATTATGTTTAAAATATAATTGAGACTATTTTATTAAAATAAAACAACAAATAAAGTCAGTATTGAGCTAAAAAATTATAAAAAGAATTTAAAAGAATGAGCTATGTATAATTTTGAGAGAGCAACAAAATAGATGGAATTTACTTATAATGTTGTTTGCTAAATTTATAACTTAGAACCAGGGTTGTGATTAGTTGTTTAATTGTTATAATAAAAATTAAATAAGTAGATTAGAGAAGTTAAAGTTCTAAAAGAGAACTAAATATGTACACATGTTAATCTAAAAAAATGGTGGGGGTTCCTTAGATTCAAATTTCGAGTTATGCCTATGAATTTTTGAAGTAATATTTCATTACTTTTCCTTATATTTTTCAGTTTAAAAATTTAATAATTTTTTATTTAACATTTTTATATTACATAAAAACTAGAAAACTAAATAATTAACAAACAATCAGGTAAAATGTATATAAAAAAATATTTTTACACTATATTTGAATATGTTTGATGAATATCTGGTAATGTTTCTAGATTAGAAATAAATTTATTAATAAAATCATTCTCTACATCATTTAATTTCACCTTTTGTCTAGCAACATGATCTTCTTCGGCAACTATTATTTCATAGTTGTAGCTCTCCAATTTGGAACGAACTTTGTTGAGAGCATTTGGTTCACAAATAAACTAGAATTAGTAATTATGTTAACATATTTATTTATTTATTCTGTTAATAAGAAAAGTTAAATTTACTTTAAAATAACCAGGCTCTAAATCCTCATCTTCAGTTTCAACCTCTTCAGCTCCAGCTTCAATTGCATGTTCTACACACAATTCTTCTGCATCTGTCATAACTGCCGGTGGTTTAGCTATTATAATTCCTTGATGTACAAATAAATGTTTTGCACCAGAATCACAGTAAGCTAAGCTTAAAAAAAAATAAAATCTATTTATTAATTTTAAAAGGTTGATTAATAAAATTATTTTTTTCTTATATTTACCCTGATTTTCTAACTACTGTATTTAAATTTTGTTTCAATAATTTTGGATTGTCAGTCAAACCTTGAATTAATAATATAGCACCTTTTGGTCCTTTTATTTCAAACCAAACTAATTCTGCTTTACTAGTCGACTAAAATATTATCATATAACTCGAAAATTAAAAAAAAGTTCTTTCTACACAGATAATTTTACAACTAATTCAAAAAAATAAAAAAAAATTTAAATATAATAAATATTTAGTTAATTATAAAAAAAAATATTAGAAAATAAAAAATATTTTATAAGAACAAGAAGTTTAAATAGAGAAACTCACATAAGTTTTCAAAGCATTTAATATTGTATCTTTTGGCATACTGTTCTTTTTTGCCATTTCAATAATTGAGGCAAGTTTTGAATTTGTTTCTGGGTTTGAATCATTTTGTTCTAGATAAAAATATTGAATTTTTTTGTACTATGAAATTAGATTTGAGTTTGAAAATGTATTAATCCAAGGGTTAATTTTTTTTTTGACATACATTAATATAGATCTAGGTATAGATATAGTGTACAATAAATATTATTGACCCCAAAATGGTATAAGTTTTTTAAGAAGGATATTATCACTCATTTACATGACTCTAGGTTAAAAAAATAACTACAATTATAAAAATTGAAATTACCTCTTATTGCTATTTTCATTTGTCTGCTAAATTTTTGAAATAATTGAGATTTTTGCTGATCGTTTGCACCTTTTATGTGTTTAATATTAGACCATTTATTATGGCCAGCATTTCTTTTAAAAATCAAATTTCCCACATCGATTCGGCAGTGCTTGATAACAATTATAAAATTATTACGAAGCATTATATTATATATGTCTAGGAAAATTGTTTATTTCTTTTAAAAAATGTTCAAAAGTAGATAATTACAACATTAACTTGTTTCAAAGCAAATTTTGTTTTTTATAATACTTTTGTGAGTGTTTTACGTTATCATTGATTTTGTAGTGTTATCATCCGACACCGGTTTTGGTTAAAATAGTTTATGATAACACGCCTATAAATCTTATAATATTATCTTTTAAAACCGTAATATAACTAAGGTTTAAAAATGGAAAATTTTAATATATTTATACTATGATATAATAATCTTCTAGATTATTGTGAATAAATAACCAATGATAGATAGATTATAATGTTAATAACGTTTCGTAAAACAGTTAAAATAATTGTGATACACATTATACAATAAATATCTTGAATAGTATTTTTGTTTAGAAATAATTACTTTCTAGAGATTGTCGTTAAATAATACTGTGAATGAATTTGAACATGATTAATAATTATTATTTAGTAAATTGTGTGGATTATACATTATGTAGTAGTAAAAATATTTTATCAACTTTCGGCGCACAACTGGTTTAGCTTATCATTTGTGATTTGAACCTGATAGTAACTGATATCGAAAGAAACTACACATTTTTATGGGTACCAAATTAAGAAATGCGGAGTATCTTATATTTTGTTTATGTGCTCTTGGCACATAAAACGTGAAGATTTTTAATAGAAGTTTTGTTGAAAAAAAATCTTAAAAATTAATGGCTTCGATAAAGTACTCTAAAGGTAAAGTCATCAATTGATAGATCAAATACTATTTATAAGACATATTATGTGAATTTTGTCATATAATTTTGTGTATTTTTCTATCATTTTAAACGTTTTTATAAATATTTAACTAGAGAAGCAAAAACTGTCATAATCCCATTATAGTAAAATTATTTTGAGATTATTCGTAATAATATTAAAAAGTTTTATTGTTTTAAGATTTTACGTATTAATACTAATTTATATAAAATTATTTAATTTTATAATTGAAATATATTTCAATCCAAAATTGTGTATGTATAAATTTTTTTTAAAATTCTCTGTTAAAAATTTAGGTTTTAAAGTTAGTAGTTTTTGCCTTTTTGGTCCAGTAATTCATTTACTGTATATATTTTTTTATATATACTTTTTATAAAATATATGCCCAATTATACTTATTTACAAGTATCTAGAGAAAAGTGTTGAAACTATAATTTTCTAAATAATTTATTTTGGATATTCATAATATTTTTTACCTAATTCCTAATTTAAAATAAAAATTATGAAAATATTTATTTTTAGTTTCTCAGTTATAAAAGATAGACTCTTTTCATTATATAATTTTGAGTACCTCTTATGTGTAAAGATGGTCTTGCGGTTAGAAGGAAAGGTTTATAAAATAGGGACCCTCCTCTTAAAATTGCTAATTGTAGAAAAAAAAAAGAAATTAATTTAAAAAATAAAATATTATTATTTTTTTTAATTTTAATATTTAATTAATGATATTAATAACTTATTATTAGATATTATAAATGATTTATATATGTCCAATAATATTTTAGTAAATATGTTGATTAATACACATAATGTTACACAGTTGTTTCATTTGATCACAACTTTTTGGTAATTTCAGATAAAATATTGTGTTTTTTTTATAAAAAACAATTCATCAAAACTTTTTTTAATTTAAAGTACTTTACATTAAACCTTAGAATTCATATGGAAAGTTTTATAAAATAAAAATCATATTAAACTTAAAATCTGAGCTATCATTGAAGTTAATAGACATTTTTATAATTTTTTAATCTGTTGAAATTGATTATATTTTAAACTATGTTATTTTAATAAGGGTATGGTGTAGTGCATTAGATTATTTAGTTGCTGCTTTAGCGCTGTTTGTTCCCATTTGGTCATCCATTCGGGAACTTTAACTGTGACACACACCTTGCTCCCTTAGTCATAATCAGATTGTGTCAGGTTAACAGACATTATAAAAATCCTACCAAATCATTTTATGGTAGAATCAACCCCAAATATTTGGGATAGAGGCTAAGGAGATGATGATGTACTTACGTTAATTTAATAAACCCTTAACAACAATTTTTTTTTATGCTTAAGGAGAAAAAATATTATGTAACTGGCGTAAAGTGTGGTATGAAGCTCGTATATTAGATATTCGTCATGAAATTGATGGTGTTCAGTACTATCATGTGCACTATTACAAATTTACTAAGAAGTATGTATTTCTTTTATTTATAATTATTCATTAATTATAAATAAACATTTGCTTAAGATGGAATGAAACTGTGAGCGAACATCGTCTTATGCCTCATACTTCTGCAAATGTGAAGATTATGAAACAGTCTAAAAAAGATGCCAAGTATAGTAATTTATATTCTTCTCTTATAAATAATATTATTTTTTTAAATTTTTTATAGAAAAATAGCACGTGATATGAAGAAAGCAAAAATCAATGGAAGACCATATATAAAAGAGAATAATAAAGAAAAAAGTGATGATAATTTTAATAAGCATCATAACAAAGTCAATGTAGCATTAATTCAAGATAAAAATCTAGCTACTGTAAATGAAACAATTAGTAACACATCTAAAGTTAAATCACCAAATCATGGAAGTGTAAAAGATATGCAGAAATATCATTTGGTATTTATTATATAAAAATATCCTAGTTTAAATTAAGGTCTAATCTAAATTTTCAATAAACTAATTAAATTCTTTCAAGAAAAATATTTTTCAATTTTTTATTAAGTTTGAAATATTTTAGACTGAAAATCAAAATTTTCCATTTCTATATTATGTTTTAAAAATAATTAGAATTTCTGTGTGCATATTTTTTATTATGGCCTAGTTTATTATAAATGTACATCTCATAAAATTACAAAAGATAATAATGTCTATCACAGTATTCTATGATATTTCAAAATTACTTTTTTAGCTTTCCTATAAAATTGTAATTTAGATGATATCCTTTGTTGTTGTTAGGGTAGCAATATGTTAAACATTTAAATCTATGAAATACAGATTAATTAATTATAAATCATATACTCTTTAAATCCGGCAGCATTTATTGATATTTTCATTAGTGTTTATATTTTTAAAATTTTAGTATCTAATATCATCTCTTTGGTTTGTTTATAAGTTATCAATTATTGAAAACTTAATTTTTTTAATGAACTTTTGTTAGAAAAGTCAAATAGAAAACTGTGCTTAATCTTTATGAGAAATTCTACATCTATCCGTGGAATAATTTATTTAATTGTCCTTATTTTTTCTTTAATCATTGAACAAAAGTGGCATAATAATTCATATTAAGGATTTAAGTAATATTCATATTACAACAAATTGAGAGACCCTCTATTACATCAGGCGAATGTCTATCTTGTATTAGAACATAAATATGGACAAACCAAGATTTCAATTATTTTAAAAGTAAAATAATAGTGTATTTATTTTCAGAAAGATGCTGTTGTTAAGATTCCTAAAGTAGCCTTACCATTGTGTTTCAATAATGTGGATTTTCGTGATAGTAAAAATCAAAGTTTAATAAAAAATAATAAATTAGATGTTGTAGAAAATATTTTTAATTGTAAATCCCAAGAAGTTAATTTTACAAACAGTATTAAAAATAAGAATAATACAAGCGTAACAGAAAATAATGATGAAATATTAGTCAGAGCTACATATATTCAAAAAACTCCTACTCTTATTGAAGAACACTCGGAAGAATATCATAATATTAATACTATTAATGAAATTAATGATTCTTTTAAAATAGATGCTGATAAAAATAGCACAGTTTGTAATGGAGATCAGTCTTCTCAAAGATTAATATCTGAAATAACTTTCATTGGTAAGAAACATAACAATGAAAATAAAAAATTAAATTAACTATTAGGCTTAAATGACTTAAATGTTGAAGTTAAAAAAAAAAAAAAATCAAATAGTTTATTATTTATCATTATTACCAACTAATGGTTTTAATATTTAGAATCCAACCAGTGTTAATGTTTGTAATTTAGAATCAATTAAAAGAGTTTTACATTTTCAAAATATGTTAATATTATTAAATAAATGATTAGTATCTTAAATAATATTGAATAATAAATGTTATACTTCCAGATATAATGGTTATTCTTCTAACCACTCTTATTAAAAATAAAAAAATTAGTTCCAATAGCAATAATAAAGCCAAATTTATAGTTAATAAATTGTGTACATATAAATTAATGTTCCACTATTGATATTATTTAATATCAGACACCATCTTATAATTTTTTCTTTATTAATAGCTTCTAGTTCTATTTTTTAATCCATACCATGAAAAAAAATGGTTTTTTAACAGTTGTAGTTTAATTAATGTATTTTAAATAATCCAGTTAAAAACTACCTGTCCTATAGTTTTTTTAATAATTACTTTTTGTAAAATTTAATTATTTACAATATTTTAAAGATCCAATGATTGAAAAAATTCAAAAATTTCATAAAAATGGCATAATAAAGAACCATATTCATCAAGAACCTAATATGTGTGATCTTAACAATATACTATTGATGAGCCAGTCTGAAAATAGAACATTGAAATCAGACCATAATATTTTAGGTCCTCCTGTATGTGTTAAAGTAACTTCCACTCAAAATGACATTGATTTAAAAGAAGGTATTTATAATAAGAAATAATTTGTCTTAATTTAAAATATAATTTTTTGGTAAATATTTTTAGTTTTTAAATCATTATTACTGCTAAGTGTTAGTATCGTTTGAAGTATACTTAAAATGATAGTAGAATCTACTGTACATAGTATACATTCTATAAGTGGAATGTAAACTTCTAATTAAAAGGTTTGATTTACTTATATTTATTTTTTAAGTAAAAGTTTTTGACATCACTAGAAAATTTGATTAATTTTTGAGAAAAATTAATTATCATATTAATAAAGTTTGAACATTTTTTTGCTGATAAAAATGATAGTTTAAAAATAATTGTTTTATAGATATTTTACAACATATCGACTCAAAAAATGTCACTGATTTAGACAAAGAAGAATCATCTACAAGTTCTTTTGAAGATTCAGTTGGATCATTCTCTAATCAAAATCCTGAAGGTAAAATAATCAAAAACAAATTTTTAAAAGATAAAATATTAATACTATTATATCTTTTACATTAATTGGTTAGAAAACATAATTTATTTACTAATAACTAATTAAAAAAAAAAAAATAATTTTTATTTATATTTTAATATATAAAACATAAAATCCAATACAGAACAAATCAATATACTTAAAATTTCATATAATTAAAAATATTATGAAAGCTTTGATATAAATTATTTAGTATAGTCATAATTGTAAACAATTTTTAGCTAGATTAGAAATCACAACTATTTTAAAAACTTCTGAAGTTCTTAAATTTGGATAAAGTACTTAATGAAAAAAGTAATGAAAAGGTTACATTTTTAACATATGGTTGGTTTTTTTAATTTATTGGCCAATATACATAATAGATGTATTTATTTCTATAGAAAAAACAATATACGTATCTTAGTAAAGTTGATACCTTCAATACAGAGTATTAAAACTAAAACTAAATAATATAAAGTTCATCACAAATCATTCTATAATTTTATACAATTTATTAAATATAGAGTTTTCTCGATTATATAATAAAATCTAATTGTGAGTATTCTACAATTTTAATTTGTAAGTGGATGCAGTTTTTTTAAAATTATAGTTAAATTTATTTTAGAAGTTAAACAGAAGTAATAATAAAAATTCTTAAATAATTTATATCAATATCTTTTAAATATAGAACAATGTTTATTTATATTTATTTTTTATGTATTCATTTTTAAACATTTTCTATTAAATAAACAACTTAAAATTTGCAGATTCAATAAAAAAAGATTATATTTTCAATGAGAACTATCCTTCTAGTTCTAATTCATTTAATAAGTCATCAAAATTTCAAGACAATTTACAATTTATAGATATTAAAAAGTCACCAGGTATTGCAAAATCATTAAATAATGTCATGTAGTAATCTACTTGTAATTTAAATTATCTTTGTTTGTTTCTTATCAGGGAATTACAGCTCTGATTCAAAGATTTTTATAACTTCAAAAAAAACTTCATTGAAAAACGAACCAGATATCTTCAACTCTGAATTAAAATTTAATAAGAAATTAAGTAAGTTTTTTCTAAATTGTAAAAGATATGATCCAAATTAAAATTCAAAGTGTAGTACATTATTTAAGTAAATCAAATTAATGTAATTTTTCTTAAGTTTTTGAAGTATTTTTCAAGGCTTAAAACTGGTTAAATCTTTTTTGTAACAGTTCTAAACCCAGCAATATTTTTATTATTGTTAATATTTTCACAATATTTTATTTGTTTTCTATCCAAAAATTTATAATTCATTTAGGTTCTCTAAGAGGTGCTGCTATTAAAGCAGCTTCAGCCATAACAATGATGAGTAAGTCTGGTAGTAGATATGAAAAAAAAAAAGATGTTGGCAAACAAACAAAAAATAATCAAAAATTAAATTCAGATGAGGTAAGTTTTGGACTCGTAGTATTGTGTGCACGTATAAAAAAAAAAGTACCAAAAATTTTAAATTATTACATTAAATTTTTAATAATAAATATATTTAAATAAATATTTTTGCTAATTAATGTATTTTTTTATACCATAACCATTTAAATTTTAGGATGACTTGTCTGATAGTGATAATGCAGAGCTTAAAGATTACGGTTTAGACTTTCCAAACCATTGTGTAAAAATTTATATTGAAGATTACCATTTGCTTGAGGATGATAGATATGTAGGATACTTTTTCTGAATAAATAATTAAAATATTACTGATAATTTTATTTTTTTAGATTCTAAACTTGCCAGCAAAATTCTCTGTTTATATGATTCTTTGTGATTATGCTAGAAAATTCCCCGTGTAAGTTTTTTTTTGTACGTAAATAATCAATTTTTGTTTAAAAATTATAGTTTTAGTTATTAGTGAATTGGACATAATGACCATGCACTCAAACCTATTGGTCCATGGTGCACACTTCATATTGAATTGTCTTGATTCGGTTTACATACTTAAGTGTTATCACCAAAGTGTTATTATATTATAGTTACCGTTGTATAAAGGATGGACTATCAAATCATCCCCTGTGGATGTCCAAAGAGTCCTATCTTTCTGGCGAAGTTAAGTACCACTCTGGGTCTTAGGTTTTTGATATCTTCTTTTTTGGGAAAAGGTTTAATCAAGTAGTTTGATCTTAGTATGGATAAGGATTCACATTCGCTTATTATATGAAATGAGTCTTTTTCTTCTACTCCAAGACCCCCATTATGTAAAGATGTTTAAACAAGTTATCATGTTCTGTTAGTATATTGAGTAATGCTTTGAGTGATTACTCAGTGAGTTCTACCACTGTTTCTGGCCTAACAACATCAGAGAACACCTCTGCTCCTTTCCTAGCTGGTAGTTTTAGTTATTATCGAGGTGGACATAATGCCCTTGTACTCAGACCTGTTGGTCCATTGTGCGCATCCTAGCTGGTAAGTAAGCTTTTTCATTTCCAGTGATACCATTGTGTTCTAGTACCCATGCTAGTGTAACTTTTTTGAACCTTGATAGTGATTCTAAAGTTCCCCTGTATTTGAGGATAAGCTTTGAATTCACTTGATTGTTACAAAGTGCTTTCAGAGCTGCTTGACTATCATTTAAGATTTAAGATTTATTTTTCTTTTGTTGTATATCAGCATGTTCTGAGCCCCCACCAGTATTACCATCACCTCTCCTTGGAAAACCGACTGTGTTGTGACCATTGACATACTGACATTTATTCGAGGTTTTAGACCTCAAATACTAGCACCTAACTTGATTTTTTGGATCCATCTGTATATATTAAAAATTCTTCTTTCTCAGTCAGGTGGTTAACCGTGTTCTGTTGTGACACTCTCTATAGTCAAGGTATCTAAGTTGTGGAATCTTAGTGCTGTGATTTTGACATGAGCTTTAACCTCTAGATGCTAAGGAGGTAATCTGATTAGTGTCTCTAATGCAACCATTGGTGTAGTTGTTAATGTTCCAGTGATGATAATGGCACCCATTCTTCTTATGCCACTAAGTTCTTTCCTGGCTGTAACAATTGTTGTTCTGGTCCATCAGACTAGGACATCGTACAAGACGATAGTTTTAATAATTGAATTGTATAGCCAATACTTAACTCTTAGTTTAAGACCCCAAGGCCTTCCTAGGCTCTGGTACAAGTCCACAGTGTGATCATTGCTTTTTTGACTCTTGATTCAATGTGCGATTTCTATTTTAGCTTAATATCTAAGATAATACCTAAGTATTTTACTTATTCTCTACAACTTTCCCTATCTTAGTGGTTAAGCAGTGTAATGCTATATCAGTAGATGTTTCCGTTTGATATGCAATTTGGGTTTCGTGTAAAGGGTTCTTCTTTAGAGGAGACTCTTCCTTGATATACCTATCAATAAGTTTCTCCATAGTCTTAAAAATAAATTTTTAAGACTTATTTATCTGTAGGATTTTGTTTCATAATAAATAGTCTGGTTAGATTTGAGTATAAATACCACTCTGATCTTGTGCCAGCTCTCTGGTTGATATCCATAAGCAAGACATGCTCTAAATGGGAGGCGATTGGCTTTAATCCTTCTTGCAGGAACAAGAACAGTACAGGAAAAATTTCTTCATAGCCTACAGTTTTGTAACTACCAAAGATTTTTAGTGCCCATCTTATTCTACTTGAGGTTATCAGTCTCCTGGTCAATTTCCAATCAACACAGATCACTCGTTTGTTCTGTGTATCATGTAACAGTTCTATGTTGTTAATTTAAGGAAAGTATGTGTTTAGAAAATGTGATAATGTTTCATTATCATTGCTGGTAAACATGTCTTCTGGTAATAGTATTGTGTCAATTGTTTTGTTTGGTCCATTTCTTTGTGATCGCAGAAGTGTAGTTGCTTTTTGGGTTCCTATAATACTCTGTTTCAACTTAGTTTATTTCCAAAGAGAATTGTATGTGCCTATGATCAGAAAGAGAAGGTTCGGAGGACACTTTCCATCTTTTTATCTTTTGAAATAACTCTTTTGAGCAAACTGTCAGATCAATGACTTTTTGTCTGTTTCTGATTACAAATGTAAGTTCATTACTTCTGTTCAGTTATTAAAGAGCATTGTTAGGTCCCTTTACCTGGGTCTGATGCCTCATATGGTAGGTATCCTGAGGATACTTTAATATTTTTACTATCACTTAATGTTACTCTAATAATTGTCTAGTCTGCATTTGATAAATTGAGTACCAAGCTGGCTTTAACTTTTTCGTTAATCAATATACAAATTATTGGTTTATCTGCTTGTTTATGAAGCAATTTAATATTTCTTTAGATTCAACCCCTTAATCTGATTACCAGTTATCCATGGTTTCTGAATAAGTGCTATTTTTAAGGGTGTTGTATGCCTCTCATTTAGGGTCCTTAGTAATACACTACTGGCCCTCTTACTATGATATACATATTTATTTGTTTAGTTGCATTATATTGTCAACCATTTAGAAAATTGATGTTGACACTTGAGAAATACACTGGACTAGGTGTAATACAGGTATCTAGACAGAGTTTGTCCTTTAGGGCCAATCTTAGTCTCATGGTGGACTTTCCAAATAGCTGTGTTTAGCCACGGGTTCTGTTTTCTAAGAACTTCTTGGATTCTATTGGCAGTCCTGGTATATAAGTGACCATCCATTTATACTTGATTGAGTTGTGGGCTTCCAGTTGGACTTCTGCACTGTCCCAAAATTTTATCAAGTTCACATGACCAGTGAACCATGTAATAGAGCTCTCTTGGGCTGCACTGATCATAAGTGCTCCATCGATGAGTCTGGTGTCTTTAAACTTTGGTACGTCAGTTCCATCAGTACCCAACAGTATCAAATCCTCAACACAAGATTCAATGAGTAGCCCCGGCTCTATGATTTATTTTTTAGTGGTGTAGCCTACGAGAACCAGAGCCACATTTTTGTCATCGGTACCACAAACCTATAGGTCAGTACCCAATGAGTCTTCTTTTGTAAAAGTTCTTGTCCCTTGATGTCAAGTTTTTAAGCTTCAGTTCCCTTGTCTCCTTTCTTTGATAGATTCTTTTGCCTCTCCATGATTGCTCAGATACTCTTGAGCTTGCACCTCTGACTACCACATAATCTCTCAGGCCTAAGTTTCAGAACTTTGATTTTGTTAACTACTGCTCCAAGTTGATTTTGTAATTCCTAGTCTGCATTTATTGACATTGCTGTCTCTTTGCTCTTCACTAGGCGCCTTGTTGTTCGCATTGAGACTTTTAACTTTGACAATTCTTCTGTGAAGAGCTATCAGTTCACACTCTTGTTCCAACAGGTTATCTGTAAGATCCTTATTCATTCCAATATTTAATTATAAATATAAGAATGAAACTTATGTCAAAGTTAGAGTTGGTAAAATAATTTGTTATACAGGTTATTATTTTTCATTATAAATGAACAATAAATTCACTCTATGGTTTTAACATGATGTATAATAATAGTTTAGTGTAAAAAAAGTTCAATGCCTTTTTATCTTTTTTCAGGAGATAAATTAAACATATTTTTCTATTATCACTTATGCATTATTACTTTTTAATAATTTCTAGTGAATGAAATATTGAGTTTTTATTTTCCAAATTTATACGCATGTTATTCTGAGGTTTAGACAATTAACTAAATTTCATAAAAAAAAAATATAACTTTTTTTTTCTAATTTCTTATATTAAATGTCAGTATTATTTTTTTTCTGATTACATTAATATTAATAAATAATGCTGTTTAATATGAACTTTTAATTATTCTTTTTTAAAGAAAAGTGTTTATCTAAATTTTTGTACTTTACTATGGTACAATAGTTCTCATGAAATAAACAATATTGTTATAATTAATTTTTCTGTATCAATTTAGTTGTTTAGACACACTTAATATAATGTTGGATGCTTTCAATCAAGGTCTTGGAGTTTGGTGTTTACATAGAATAGAAAAATTACAGTACCAACAGGTAAAATAAAGTGTTGATCTGATTTTTAAATGTGTTTAATTAAAAATTTGTCTTGATTTTTAGGTTATTGAGAAATATCCTAATCTTACTGTTAGTCACATTTATGGGCTTCCACATTTAATCAGGTTTATTTGTAAGTATACTTATTTAAAATAATATTTCTTTAAGTTTTTTTATGAATCAATAATTGTTATTGTCTATAGTATGTCTACCAAAATTATTTCGTTTGATGGAAAATGATTGTAAAGAATTTGTTCCAAATGTTAAACATTTTGTAAGAGGATTATTGATGTAAGAATTATAATTATGAAAATAATTCATAATTTTTTTATGGTGCTATCATTATTTCTTTTTATTACAGATACTTAGTAGATGAAAATTTATGCATTAATGTTGAACGAGATTATCAACCTGTAATGCCGGATTATTTTAGAATGACTTATTATTAATAATGTAAAAAGTTATATGTTAATTATTAATTATTTGATGTAGAAATCAAATATATATGTTACCTATTGTCTTATATTAGACTATTTCTTCTTTACAAAATGTATACAATTTCATTGGTCTTAGTGATAACATACCATTTTAATTTAATGTATTTATATTGTTAAATTGTTTCCTGTTAAAACATACTATATTTTCTATGTTAACCTGAATAAAAATGTTTTGTTAAATTTTCTACTAAGTGTTTTTTTTTTTAAATATATTATGGTTTTTATTTAAAATATTTTTTCTTTGTTTATAAAAATTAATTAGATAATTATATATTACTGTATATCAATAGTGTATTTAAGACTATCCTAAATGGTTTAATCTGAGAACCCCCTCCAAAAGTACACCACTGTACTACTAATTNTCATAAACTTAAAAAACAAAAACGTAATTTTGAAAGTTAATTTTTCGTAAGTTGCGGTCAAATATCAAACTTGAAATTTTTTTCATAGAAATTACATACATAGTACTATATTGTGTGAAAAAAAATTATTAAAATATTTTGTTCCACCAGAGAAAAATTAAAATAAAAAAGCTTAAAAATTGATTTTTTAGAAATTCGAGCATTTTTAAATATGTCTCAATAAAAAACGGTAAGAGTAAAATGTTTCAAAATACAATTAAATATTACTGTGAGTGTACGTTAATATTTAGGGAAAAAAATTGATTAAAAAAAAATGTTTTTTCATAGTTAATTTGATCTTTGAAAATTACATTATTTTGTAAAAAAATCTCAATTTATAAAACAAAATTTTCCAACTTAAAAGTTAAAAAACGTGTTGGTAATTATGGGATATGTTAGAGTATTGCATAAAAAAAAAAACGACGAAAGTTTCAAGTCTTAAATATAAATACTGTTATCATAAGGATATTTTTACGAATTACAAGTATTTCATAATTTGAAATTTTTGATAAGTCATAAATAAATTTTCGTAAAACTTTTTTTATTTTTTCTTCTTCTATACTAGACAACTTGTGTGTAAAATTTCCAAAAAAAAATAAAGTGGTCGCGCAACGACTTTGGATGATTTGATATGGATTTTACGAAATTTCTTTATTTTTATTCTGTTTATTGATTAGAAATGATTAAAAAAAACTTTAAAATTTAAATCAAAAATTATTTATACAATTATTTTTAAAATGTATATTCTGTAAAAAATAAAAATGCATAAACAGTTATCATCAAAGTAATAGTGTTTCAAACATAATTGTATGGAATTCGTTGCATTACTTCTTAAATGAAAAATATAACGTTACATTAAATCCGGTTGCAAATTTTTAAGTTCACCACACATAATTAAATATTTATTACTCCCTGTATAACAATTTTATTTATACAATCGATTATGTGACATATAATCTTATTACATGACCATTAAAAATCTATATATTTATTGAATTATTTATAAAGCACAAAACCAAATTTCAAAAAAAAAAAAAAAAAATGAAAATATATCAACCCAACCAGCTTTAATCTTCCGTGAATAGAAAATAATCATAATAAACAGTTAACAAAAATATTACTATTAATTTAATAAATTTTCAGACTGATATTTCCTATGGATTAAAAGTAAAGGGAAAAATTCTAAAAAGAGCAATTGTTTTGGGGTCCCGTAAACATCACGAAAGAGTTCTTCAGTAGGAACGTTGCACCCGCTGCTCACGCGATTGTAGCAGAAGCAGTGGTTTTGATTTTACTTAATAATTTGATTTATATTTCTAAAATTGTACTAATTTCAATTAAAACTGTATTTTATTTTATGTTATCACATGTCATCGGTTTGCTTACTATAAATACCACGACCGGTATATGGTTTGTTTGGAATTTTATTATCATGTTCCTATTACCTAGTGTTGGACACGCATTACGCAAGCGAAACAGAATATAGAAGATCGCTGGAGATGTTTACGATAGCCTCTCTGGGTACACCCTCGCAACGTTTTCAGTAGGAAAGTTCGGGTGGGTTGTGAGGGCTGGTCGGGTTTTTACGATTGCGGGACACGTTTCTTTATGAGCCCGCGAGCGATGTTTTCCATAAACTCTGCTTGCATGTACGCCTCAAGACCTTTAGGTTTAATTAAAAACAATATACCGTAAAAGCCGTAGGGATTCGAAGCAGCCGGTCTGATCATTGACGCCACCAACTCAACCAATCCGGTGAAGATTTCTCTTATCACGGTTTTACATTATGAAGTGCGTCTGTAATTATGAATTATGTTTTGGAGAGCACTGAATTAAACGATGTTATTAAATTTCACACAGACCACAACATTTATACGTGTTCATTTACTCGTCGATTATGTTAAATGAAGTGTATTAATGATCAAAATTCCTGAAAACATTTTATCATAAAAACGTTTTAACGCGTTGAATTTTTCTCTAGTCAAATTATTGGTCATTTAGGATTTTTTTTAGTTGAGCGATTCCAAACATAGTACACATTAACATAAATTAGCATTGGTTCGCTACCACAAAAAATTTAAACAATTTATCGTTGAAAAAAAATATAATATTAAAAACCGCATGCTGGTTTTCATTTTATTTTAAACCACTCATATGAAATATGAATATTATGAATACTTTAAAAATTTTGTTTATATATGTTATGTTGCAACTGAGTGCTAAATAATGTCAGAGATAAATGTTATACGGCATCACTGTTTCCCTAACATAGTCCGTCTGATATTAAAAATTCACAACCCACTATATTTTGAAGTGACTGGAGGATACTGGGCTTGGGAATTCGAATTCTTCGAAAATATAATCGAGCATTTTAAATTAATAGTAGTACCACAATAAAGTTATGAATTCAGTGTAGGTACTTCTTAAAATCAAATTCTGCAGGTATGTATTTTTAATGTGAAACGATTGAAGATTTTCATATTTAGTTTATGTCTTAAATGGACCAGCGGTAGTTGATGAATAATAATGTCGAACTTTACTTCGAGCGTAGAAGATATTGATCTATTCTACGAGAGCTTATCTTGCTCAGTAGGATTTTGTAATGTATAATTTATTAAACAAATGACTGGGGGTAATAAAAAATCTGTTTTACTCCAGGAAATTGAATAGCGTGTCTCTTTAACATTTTTCACGAATTTACTGCTGATGTTTTTTTTTGTATCATTTATCTATTCCTATAACATACGCATAAACCAACGAATAATCACGTATAGGATAATGTATACGAATAAATTACCACTCAAGATGATTCAAACGTAAAACTGTTTTTTTATTAAGCTGAAAGGAGTAAAAACAAAAAATCGTGCTCTATCAAAATATTTTATTTACTTAACATTAGATGTAGATAATTGAAATTTTGATCGCTTGTGTCTCACATTATTAAAAAATACCTCGGTGGAACTCTATTGGTATATTCAATAATAAAAATTTATAATTTTTTCTTTAAAAAAAAATATATAACATTTTCATAAATTGTAGTATGTTATGGTGTGAAAATATGCATAGTTTAAAAACATTAGCAATAGAAAAAGTAAACCAACTGTTTAGTTGTTTGTAAAGTAAAAAAACCTGACAGTTGCCTAGTAATATAAAATTCATTAATATTATTCTTCGTTTAACATAAAATTATTTAATACAAACGTGGATAAGAAATTAATTTTTAAAAGATTCTTTAAAAGTATTTGTAGTTTAATATAGTTCATCATTTTTTAAAAAGAAAACAATAATATCTATTTTTACAATAATCATAAAATACTTTTAAAAAACTATGGTCAAATATTGAAATTATTTTTAGATATCACATCATTTGACCACTTGAGTAGAAATATTAATCTACTCTGTAATAACTTAAATTACCCGTTACCTATTGTTAAGTTCATTTGAGTTTTTCGTTTAGATGTTTTTCAATTACATTTTCAATAAAAATTTACATTTGAAATTACATAGGAATGTCAAAAATGGTCTTTTATTATACTAAAGCTTTGGATTGGGTGCAAAATGACATGTAATAAAATCTGATAGCATGAAATTGTCAAGAATATAAAAATAAAGAAAACAGCAAATATCTTTTTCGTTTTAACGAGGTACTCCATTTTAAAAATAATGATGTACTTTTAATGTTATACAAATTTTATTGTTTTTAACCATTGCCAAATAATAATATTTAGTTTTTGTGCAATAATAAGTAACAGTAATAGTATGTGCATTTAGTAATTATCTAATAATATTGAATAGAAAACGTGTTCTCTATAATTAATTTATTTCAGAATTTTAATAAAGCTTAGATATAGATTTCATAGAAAGATCATCCATAATATTCATAGCGTATAATAATAATAATAAAGAAAAATAGTGACTGACAACGGTAAAAAATGATAATAAAATAAAAAACGTCGACGTATCCAAATAAGAGTTGCTATAGGAAATTTGTTTACGAAGAAAAATAACGCAATAGCTTTTGAGTCGGATTTCTCCTCACCCCTCTCCATGTGTTCCAGACAGAGAGTTATGTAACTAATGGTCGGAATATAAAATGCACTCTTACCCGCTCTTTCACCATATTGCTCCGTTATCATTCAGCCTTCATTAGCTTTATGGACATTCGCCAGGGTCTCGACTATTTGTTCCGTTCACCTTCAGAACGTAAAGACTAACCCTTATCAATCATGATTGTCTATCGTTTAACACAAATCTTCAAAAATATTTTCTCTTTTCCATTTTTCTTGACTTTATTTGTATCATGTTTCCACATTTTCTCTATTTGATATGACAAATAATTCAACTATTTCTTAACGCTAAACAGAGAATACCTATATTATTTTATAAGAAAAATAGTATAAAGTAGAACTGCGAATTTTAGTAACGTGTTGCTTTTACTTTTCCTCTGCGAAGTTCTTTCGATTATTAAATATAACGTGATGTTTCCGCACTTCAACTTAACCATCTTAAAAATCAGTCATATGTCAACATTACTTTCAATTCATAACATTTACATGTTTATCTTTCAGTACCATACCAAATGTGTCATGAAGTATTATCATTTAATATAAGATAAAAAACTGAATTTTATCAATCATTTTTCCTTGACATTACATTAGTTTCAGTGCCGAGTTAAAATGGATATTTTTAGTGTTATGTTACAAAAATCAGCGAATAAAATATCATTTATTTGACAAAATAATTTAGTAATATAATCAACTATTGAATTTATAACTCAAAGTTATCA